TGCCACCACTTTTTTTTTTTTTTTTTTTTTGGAACCAGGAATTGAACCCAGGGGTGCTTAACCACTAAACTACACATCCAGCCCTTTTAATTTTTGAGACAGGATCTTGCTCAGTTGCTTACAGCCTCACTAAATTGTTGAGGCTGGCTTTGAACTTGCAATCCTCCTGCCTCAGCCTCCTGGGCTGTTAGGATTACAGGCATGCACCCCTGCACTCGGCTTCTAGCCCTTTTAATTTTATTTTGAGATAGGGTCTCACTAAGTTGCTAAGGCTGGCCTTGAACTTGTGATTCTCCTGCTGTAGGCTCCTCCCAAGTAACTGGTATTACAGATGTGCATCACTATGCCCAGCTTGAGAAGTACATTTTTAAGTGATTTTAAAAATATACCTTATTGGAAAAGGAGAACTCAAATATGTTTGCTCAAGCCTTTTGCTGTAGGAACAATGGGACAGAATAAAGGTAAGCTCACAAAATAAGGGAATATTTCTTACCTGTTATTTTTTTTTTCTCCAAATTCTTCTATACAGGTCCAGACAGATGGGCTACGTTTCCTTTCTATTAACTGAGGAGACAGAGAAGAATTGAGGACTGAAGCGTCATCACTGTCTTGAATGTACTGAAATCCTAACAGCTTTAGCTGAAAATATGTCCAAAGCAGGCAGTCAAAACAAACTTAAAATAGGACAAACTCCAACACTATCTATCTATGCTAGAATCACAAGGCAGGCAGGGAAACTGGTTCCTTTGAGGAAGGTAGTCAAAGAAATAAGCAGAGTAGCCCTCACCCTGTTCCAGCATGTTTGAAGTACTTGGGGATGGAGTAACCCCTTTCCTTTATTCATCTACATAGGTCCATGAGCCATAAGAAAATGACTCCCCACATGAAGCTCCTCAATACAAGACCTCCGACTGCACCATGTCAGTCCTTTCTAAAGGCAAAGTCTAAAGGAATCTGAAATGGCAAGCCTGTATCTGAAAGTGCTGAGAAGAGCCTTGAAGAAGACTCCCTGGCAGTGAGGAACAGAAGAAGCGGCAAGGACCCTGGAATCAGGCAGACCTGGGTTTGAATTCTGACTCTGTCACTTTCTACTGAAGTGACTTGAGTCACAAACATCTGTGAGCCTTATTAGTAGCATTTTCCTCACACCAGGCAGTCTGAGGATTAAATGAAAGAACATGTTAAGGCATCTAGGATGGGCTGGGCCCAGAGAAGGCTGTGATGATGTCAAATATGCACTGGCCAATGAACAGGAACCCTGGGGATGCCCAGAGGTGGTATGGCCATAGCTCTAGAAGTACAGAATTCTCAAAGGGAAACAGAGCTCTCTGCTCCAAAAGTCCTACGCAAGTCAGAAGCCAACTTCAAGATACAATGCACAAACAGCCAAATTGTTATCAGTCAGCTTTTATTACGAGGAAACAAATGCTGCATGGAAAATTATTTGTAAAGTTTGTGATTTTGCCACTTACTAACAGTGTGAACCTAGGCAAGATTTCTGAATTTCAACTTTTTCATCTGAAAAATGGGGAATAATAACATCAACATTGCAAGAGCTCTTGGGAAAATAAGATAACATGTTTTGAATACTTATCATGTGCCAAGCACTATTCTAAGGCTTTTCGGTATGTCATCTCATTTGCATAAATACTTAATATAGCCTGGAACATAATAAACAACTAGTAAATTAGGCATTAAATAAATGTAATGGGCAGAGGAAGAATTACTAAGGTTCCAAGAGGAGAGAAGAGAAGATGCCTGTTTCCCAGGTGGGAAGAATAAGATGCAACTGGGAGAAGAAAGGTATAATAGTTACTGGATATGAGACTCTCAAAACTTTTGAACCATTACAAATTAAACCAATCTAACTCACCCCAAAGGACAGAACTGAGCTCTTTTTTCATCTTTAATCTTTATGCCTCTCTGAATCTGAAAGAAGCTGCCAGGATTCCAGTATAAACCAAAAAGTGATGACCGTACCCTGAAGCATGCAAACTTTTGTGTCTCTACAGCTGTCCTTAGGAAACTGGTGCTAGTGGACTATGGGGGAGCAATAGGGCATTTCTGGGACCGCAGCTCAATTTGCCTTTATAGTGTGGCACACCTACTTCATGGATATTCTCAGTAGTGGAATAAATAACAGGGATAAATCTTGGATTTCCCTCTTATTCGTTCTTTGTGCTTATGTTCTTGGCACAATATTGATGTGTCATAGATAAGTCAGCATGTGAATATGCTCTATCTGAATAGAGCCTGCCTTTCTACCTTGTAGAATCCTTCAGTTTCTAAACTCATGGAGCTTGTATTGTTAGAACCAATGAAGTAACTAAAAGAATTTTTAAAAAATAAGCCATCAGTCTGGACCTGTGTAGGTGAATGAAGGAGAAGCACTTTAAAGTCAGGGGGGAAAAAAGTAAACTTAACATTTAGGATTATCAACCAGTACTACTTTTCCATATAATATGTTTCATTTCTGATTTCATCTGGAATAGATATGATTATTACTACCATTTAAACAGTGGTACTTTACTAATAAGCTCTTGGCACATCTTTTTTCAGGTTCAAAATAGTCTAACATACTGCTAAGTTGTTGCATCAGTGTTTGTCAATAATAGAAAGGCCTTATTCGAGAGATTTACCAGGTTGTATTACATGGAACCCAGAGGTGAATCCAGACTTTGTGGGGCCTGAAACTTATCTAATTTGGGAAATTACCTCTGATAAAAACATGCAAAATTTAGGTATATAGAAATTGGGAGGGCCGGGCATGGTGTCACACTCCTGTAATCTCAGTGGCTTGAGAGGCTGAACGAGGAAGATCGCAGGTTCAAAGCCAGCCTTGGCAATGGAGAGGCACTACACAACTCAGTGAGACCCTGTCTCTAAATAAACTACAAAATAGGGCTGGGGATGTGGCTCAGTAGTTGAGGGCCCCTGAGTTCAATCCCCAGGACCAACAAAAAAAAACAAAAAAGGAAAGGAAAAAGAAAAAGAAATTGCGAGGGCCCCAATCAGAACCTTAGAAGAGACCTGTGCAAGGGAGGAGACCCAGAGCTTAGGTTCCATTCAATTCATGATATATCTACATCAGCTGAGACCTCTGAACAAACTTTTATAGTTCAGGGAAAATTGGTCTTTTAACTTATAAACACCCCAGTACATTCATATTGATCATAAAATTACCGGCATCTTCCCTTGGCAAGTTGCCTTTGGAAAGAAATTTAAGAGGCTTATCTCTCACTATGGCAAGTGTTTCCTGAAGCAAAATGGCTTTATCTATTAGAAAAATTTTACCCAAAACAAAAGTGCTCAGCTCCCAATACACACTTGGTGGATCGTGACCATTGCGCCAATCTTTTTTTTTTCCCCCTCTCTCTCTTTTTGGTACTGGGGATTGAACTCAGGGGCACTTAACCACTGAGCCACACCCCCCAGCTCTTTTTTGTATTTTATTTAGAGACAAGGTCTCACTGAGTTACTTAGGGACTTTGCTAACTTGCTGAGGCTGGCTTTAAATGCATAATCCACCTGCCTCAGCCTCCTAGCTGCTGGGATTATAGGCGTGTGTCACTGTGCCCAGCTCTTTTCTTCTTTTTTAAGAGACAGGTCTTACTATGTTGCCCAGATTGGCCTTGAACTCCTGTCTTAGCCTCCCAAATGGCTGGGACCACAGCTGTGCACCTTGTCTGGCTCAATGTGCCAATCTATGAAAGCAACTATGAATTAGTCTGAGAGGCAGAGCTCCATTCGCATTGCATGATATGAGTGTTAACGTCCATTGCCAGTTGGCTCTGAGTTCTCATCATGAAGCAAATGCCTTTTTCTGTTCTGATGAACACAGAAACTAGAGATAAGTTGGTGCCTCCTCCATTATGAGTCTTTTCTGACCCACCATCCATCCCTGCTTTGTTTGAAAAGTAGACTCTCCATATTCTTTCCACAATTTAGGCTTCAGCAAATTGATGAGGGGGAGGAGGTGGCTGCAATAAATGAGCATCTGAAGGAAAAGTTAATCCAGCTCCAGGCATACCATAACCATCCCTTCATGGAACCCAAAATGAACCATGTGAACCTGGATTTCTGACCCACGAGACAGGTGAACAATTTTTTCCAAAATTGAGTTGAGGGGAGAACTTTCACCTTGAGTCTTAAATCCCTTTCAGGGGTTAGGGGTATATGTTGCTCAGTGCCAGAGTGCTTGGCTAGAATGCCCAAGGCCCTGGGTTCCATCCCCAGCACTGAAAACCAAAACAAATCAAATAAATAAGTAAAAACAAAATTTCCTTTTGAGCTGAAAGGAAATAAAACCCATACTTCTTGTTAAGGGTAGTCAGGAAAGATAGTATATGTAATTAGGTCAGAGCAATGTATTTTCTTTACAAATGTTTTTTACACTATATCATAAACATCATCTTTCTCACACCTCAAAGATTCTTACTGCCTACATACAATTCATGACTTCAGAGGCAGGTATTTTTAGAAAAATAATGCTCTGGGTGATTGGGGAGAGAGGTCCCCTGAGCCAATTCGTTTGTGCTTTCCATTGAGAAAGCACCTGCATCTGTGCTCCCTGGAGGGCTTTATGCTAAACTTCATTCTTTGTAGCCCTGTTGCATATATTTAAGCAGTTAGGGACTCTAAATGTGAGATTGAATCAGAGTTAAACTCAAAAATGAAATTCAAGGACAATTCACATGTCAGAGCATCATCACTGAGACTACCATGGCAATGCTAATTTGGGTGTTGCTTGCATGATGCTTTCTATTATCTATGCCAGAGATCAGTGCTAGGGAAAGCAGAGCATGTCCTATATAAATTACAAGTCTCTTGGCTTCTCTGTGCCTTAGTTTCCTCATTTGAAAAGAATGAATGGATCTTAAAGACATACTTCTCAGAATAAGACAGGGCTTACATCAAGCTAACCAATAACTGTATAACGTTTTTAACACATAGTTTTGGGGGATTTTTTTGTACATGCGTGTATCTTCTATTTCACTTACAACTTGTGTAAAAACTGCAGTCCATGCCATGCCTGAAATGTTCCAAAGCCCAGTTCTGTGAGTAAATTGCAACCAAGGTTTCTACAAAAAAGAAAGCCAAAGAAGAAGGAGAAGAAAAAAGATATTCTTTCAGAACATTTATCATTTGGCAGTGATTCTAACTTATATATGATGAAATGTAACCTCAATACTTTTTCCACACACTAAAGAAATCTTGCTGTGGAAGATCCCGACTTATGACTTATATTTCTGCGTTTATACATGCAGAGCCTTAGCTATAAAACAGTGAATGCTCAAAAAATACTTCTCTAACACAGGGCTTCAGAACTTCAATGCTATTGACATTTTGGGCTGGAAAATTCTTGTTGTGGAGTTTTGTCCTGTATATTGTAGATGTTTAGCAGCATCCCTGGTGTCTGGCCAYTAGATGCCAAAATGTCACCTGGGTRTAAAATCACACTAATTGAACCACTGCTCTGTAATGACTCATTTCAATCCATGTATAATAATTCTCATACTTATCTTTGCTAGATWCTAAAAAGATTTGCTATATAACTTTAGTAACTTTTTACTAATAAATTTTTAATCATAATTKCAAATGAGTATCAAGGGGGTTTATAAAATTTCAAATATCATCAAGTTAACTTACATAAATTGCAAAAAAGGTAGTGGTTCAAATGTACGTCTTTCGATAGATTGTATTTTATTGCAGGATAAATCTCTAGGAAAAGTAAAAGGAAAATATTGCCTTGATTAGATATTAGCTATCTAATTAGTATGAATAAATAGAATCCAGAATTGATAATATTGAATACCTAGTTTTTGTTTAAATTCTAAACCTTTGGACTTATATTTTAATTTTTTAGAGTTTTTAACCCTGCCCACTCTTSTCTTGAGTCTCACTTTCATAAGTAAAATATACAACTTTAYATCTTGACAGGTTTTGAGATAGTCTTTCCTGACAGTAGGATAATTATTATGTGACCTTTTACAGTTTTATCAAGTTCAAGATTATGAGCTATAAGTATTAATTTCTGCATGTAATTTTTAAAATTAAAGGGAATATTCTCATGTTCCTGGCTTAATTTGGTTTTTCTTTCACACGTGCGTGTGTGTGTGTGTGTGTGTGTGTGTGTGTGGTACAGGGGATTGAACCCAGGGCCTTGTGCATGCTAAACAAGCACTTTAACACTGAGCTATACCCCTAGTCCTTTATTCTATTTTTCTAACCCAGTTTAATACTAGAAGAAAAAGATACCTTTCAAATCATTTGAAAGACAGTTACTCCTCTAATTAATACATGTMTTTGAACTAATTCAGAGTTGTACTTTCTATCATACTAATGGAAACTCATTTTGGTTTCATATTACCTTAATACTCCATGAAGTACCTGCTTCAGTTGTATAGTGCTGGGACAATGAAAAACAACATGGAACTGGATTTTTATTTGAAAACACCATTCTGATTAGAGTTGACTCTCTTACTTCCACAGATTTCAGCTTGTTCCTCACTTTTCACCTGGATGGGTAGAACTGTCATGWCTGGTGTCTCCAACTCTAGGCTCTCCCTTTCTAATCAATCCTGAACTCAGTCACCAGTTAGGCTGTCTAGAATTGGTTCTTAAAGACCAGTATTACCTGGGAACTTTTGAAGAATGCAAAATTCTCAGCCCTACTCCAGAATGACTGAATCAGTAACTATGAGGGTGGTATCCAGAACCAAGTTCTACAAAGTCCTCCAGGTGAATCTGAGACTCAAGGTTGTTTTAGAGCACTGCAGATGGTTCCCCACCAYGGCTCCTTTGCTTGGCACTCAAAGTCCTAGAAGGTTGGGTTCCATTCTCCCTCTTGTGCCCTACAGGTGCCCATGGCACTCCTCAAACACATTTCTGKGTTTTGCCTTTCTCCCATTCTCCCTTTGTAAGCTTTGTATATTTTCCCTAAGATGCCTATCTGATGATTCCCAGTGAGGCCCTTCGAGGTCCTGTTGAAACAGCACTGCCGTRGGAACATTTTCCTTAAACCAATTGGAAATCTTTTCTCCTCTTTTGTGCTGTAGACACAATTTATACCTCTTAGTGCCCATATCYATTTGTTTTCAATTCAATTGTTTTTGTATCCCATTTCTTCTGATACAAACTCTTTGAAAGCCTGCACTGGGTCTTGCTCATCTGTGTTGCCCTCCAGGTTTAAAACTGACACAAGTATTTGAGAAACTAAAATATTTATAAAATAAATGAATATCTAGGGAGTGAGGAGGGGGACAAAAATGACTAGTTAAAAAGGAATGCAGTTTGTGACTTCACAGCTGGCCCTTCTGCTGCACCTCTTTAGCACTTTGTCATCCACTGGGTACTTGCTGAATYATGGTTTGAGCTTAGCCTTGTCTCCTCTGTGAGCCCCTAAGTTCCTAAAGAAGAGGAACCTGTCTTACTCATCTTTGTCCTTCCAATACTAGGGAACAGTGTTTGGCATATTCTTTTGAGCTCTTTTTTATTGRTTAGTGTTTTTTTTGAAATAAATGCAAATATATATGCTAACATGAAATAATTAGCTAACAAAGTCTTACATAGTAGAAATAATGAAAAGTCTACTCCATTAAGCAGTTATCTCATTTGTTTTCTCCAAACCACGTTTGTTTGAGGCAAAAGTGACTAAAACCACCAATACAAAAGCAGTTGTTCCTGAGGGCCTAGGAGGTTTGATAATTCAAAGGACTACTTTTAGTATCATGTGAAGCTCTTTATAYTCACTTCTTTTAAGCCTTCTACATCTGAAAAAAGAATATATTTACTAAAAACATCATTAGTTAGCTTAATAGGGTKAATGACCCACACATATCTAGATACCACAGACAAAGGATAAAAATCAAGCTATCACAGCAAAGAACCTAAATTATCTTTAACCAGATAAARATACTATGTAAGTGTTCCCTCCTTGACAATAATAATAGAGAGATTTTAATTTTGTGATTAATGAAAAGTTATAGGCATTTCTGATCTGCTTACTTAGTGTAAACGTTTCAAACTACACCATTTAACCATCATTTCAAATATCTATTTTCTGGAGGGGGATACTGAGATTGAACCCAGGGACACTTTAAAACTGAGCCATATCCCCAGCCCTTTTAATTTTTTATTTTGAGATTGGGTCTCACTAAGTTGATTAGAGCCTTGCTAAATTRCTGAGGCTRKCCTTGAACTTGCAATCCTCCTGCCTCGGGCTCCTGAACTGCTGGAATTACAGGCATGTACCACCATGCCCAACTTTTTCACATTTTTTATTGGTGTATTATAGTTGTACATAATGCTGGGATTTGTTGCTACATATTCATACATGCACACAATGTAACAATAAACTTTGGTCAATATCATTCCCCAGCACTTCCCCCTTCTCTCCCTTCTTCTCACCCCTTGGTTCCTTTTCCTTTTTTCTACTGATCTCCTTTTGATTTTCATGAGCCTCACCCCCATCTTTCTTTTCTTTTTTCCTCTCTAGTGTCCCCACATGAGAGAAAACATATGACACTTGACCTTCTTTATACTTCTGTGTTTGGCAAATATCTATTTTTAATGAAGGTATGTCAATTCCTGCATTGAAATCCTTAATACTGGTATGTTCTTCAGTAGCTTAGTAGTCTTCAAAATATTATTATGCAATTTACTTACTTAGTTATTTAGTCTTTTTTTGTTGTTCCAGGGATTGAACTCAGGGGCACTCAACCACTAAGCCACACCCCCAGCCCTATTTTGTATTTTATTTAGAGACAAGGTCTCACTGAGTTGCTTAGCACCTTGCCCTTGATGACGTTGGCTTTGAACTTGCAATCCTCCTGTCTCATCCTCCTGAGCCACTGGGATTACAGGTGTGCGCCATCATRCTGGCCATCATGCTGGCTAGTTATTTAGTCTTTAAGCATTAATTTAATTCAGTTTAAYTGTTAAAACATTCTAATTAATGGCATTCAAATGAATATAGGTGGCCTATTTTTTTTCTCTCCTGTAGGCACCAAACTGAGGTTAACTTTAATTCCCRCTGTTCTACTAATCCAACTTTTTAAAACCTTATTTGCAAAGGCCAGATAGTAAATATTTTAGATTTTGCAGGCSACATACGATCTCTGCTACATATTCTTTCCTATTTATTTTACAGCATTTTAAAAATGTAAAAATAATTCTTAGTTAATGAGCTGTATAAAAATTGACTGTGGATTGGTTTTGATCCATGGGCTTTAAACTAGATATAAATACATGTAAACACTTACAAAACAAAGTTCATATGAGTGTTAGTAATTGCTCTGATCTTATTACCACTTTTCCACTGTAAGTGGAGTTTTTTTTCCCATCCGTATCTTGTCTATATAATTTTTAAAACTAAAAATGCTTAGGAGGTATTTAATGCTGGAGATGGGTTAAAATCTATACAAACTTACACAATCACAGAATTTAATTGCTGGAAGAGATTTTACAGATATCTAATATGAACCCCTTATTCATTAGATAACCCATAATTCACAGATAAATATGATTAACTAACTTACAAATACTGGAGGGATAGCAGGCCTTCAAAGGAATCTTTGTGTAATTCAGTCAGGGAATTTTCACTGAGAATTCTGAAAGATGAAAAGGTTATTTCTGGACCAAAATTCAGCACAAAGATGGAGAATATCCAGTGGTAAAAAAGTATGAGAAAATGAATGTTGTCATATTCTCTTGCTAGGAGTATAAGGTGGCATACCCTTTTTGCGGGTAGCTAAAATTTCATATCTACAATAGTCTTCACCCCCMAAAATCTCATTTCTATTCTATAGAATTATATGCCCATGTTCACAAAGAAGTATGTTTATTGACATTATGCATGTAAACAGGAAAACCATATACACTCTAAACATCCATCAGTAAGGGAATTATTTTTAAATAAATCATGATATGTTCATACTATGGAATATTATGCATGARTTCAAATGAATAGGGTAGGTTCTGTGTACTAAAAAGAAACCTGACATATGATGAAGTGAAAGAGTCAAGTTGCATGAATGTTACCATTTATGTAAAAAAAAAAGATAATAAAACCATGCAACAAACCTATTTTGCTATATGTAAATATGTGTGTAGGCAAATGCATGGGGAAAGATCCAGAAGGGTATATATACCAAACTCAGAGTAGTGGTTTCCTCAGGGGTGGAGGGTTAGAGCACAGGGATGGTCTCACTACCTGTTATTTCATATTTACTCATTAAGAATGTAATTATGTATTACTTACAAAATGGAAAATAAATTTAAATTGTTTTTTACTTACTTCAAAGAGGGTCCACGAAATTGAATTTTTATTTATTTATTTATTTTTTTGCTGTGGTCCTGGGGATGGAATCCAGGTCCTCRCTCATGCTAGGCAATTACTCTACTTACTACTAAGCTACAAACCCAGTCCCCATGAAATTTAATTTTTAAAATAACTACCAAATTTCACTCAATACAGGCTGAATTGATTTATGGAGGGRAAAACCTTTTTCTAACAGTATTGACCTCAACATTCTAGACTAAGAAGGATCTTACAATGCATTTTTTTTTTTGTATTCATGTTTGGAGAGAATATACTCACAGTTTCTCTRCCCAACGGTAGGATTTCCATATGTTTTCTTCAATGTAAGAAATAACGTTTCCTTGGAAATTCCTGTGAAGAAACAGTTTATACTTTTGAATAAGTAGGGAAAAAAATGAACAGAAAAAGTAAAACAATCATGGAAAACTCATGGAGAACATTCAAATATAGAAAAAACAAACRAAACAAAAACCCAGCTTTCTAATTTTCAGAACTATCAGCTTCCYGGTTTCMCAATAAGATAATAATGTGAGCCACTGGCACAAATGATAAAGCAGAAGTTTAACTTCCTATCTGTCRAATTTCAACAGAAAAATGGGYAAGAATTTACCATATTAACAAATATGAATTAAGAAACACATTGCAAGTGACACCAAAGCTTTGCCTAAGTGCCCTCTGTTGAAATATCTYCAGGTATTAGGAGGATAAGGACAATTAGAAATCACGGATGTGATTCTAATTGTGTGCTGATGTGGAAAGATCTCTTGAACATGTTGCATAGAAAACAAGCATGAATCACAGTGTTTTTTTCTTTTTTAAACTTCATCGGGGAAAATTATGCATAGAAAGAGAAAGCAGAAAGAAAGACACACACCAATATGTAACAGGGGTCATCTTATGGGTGGTAGGGCATGGACAAGGGRTGAAAAAGGATAGAGGTATAGATTTTCACTTTGATCCAATATACTTCTGTTGACTTTTTTTTTTAAAAAAAGTGAGAATGTATCTATGAATGACATGTTTAAAGAAGCTGTTAAATTATGTTCAGTTTCAACTCTGCAGATACCTTCAACTTTTTTTTTAAACTCTGTCCTTATCCATTAGCAATAAGTTTTCTGTTTATACATCTTTACCTAGACTTTTTCTTGGCRTTTGAGGTTGGAGGATAAGCCTGCTCATCTAGTGGACAAAGGCCTAGTGGACATTTCCACTCAACCAGAAGCCTTCTGAGGGCTTTATGTTCCCCACTAAGAAACGGCTAAGAGTGAACTCATTTCTCTCCAACTGGCTTTCCTTCCTGGTGTTGTTTTCCACCTGCTACATCACCAGCATTCTCATTTTTTATCCAGGACAAAACTCGTGGAGCCATATTTTATTTTTCTCTTTTCTGTACACCTCATCCCCTAAMTCTTTTAGTCAATCATTAAAGCATTTGTTATTCTTCTAAAGCTCCCAGGATTTTTTTTTCCTTTTAACAGACTAAAGTCATACCCTAAAATATTTTTAATATCTTACTTTTAAAACCTGRCATTTTTATTTGTTATCAAACAGAATAAATTGATGGAATTTGATTTTTTTGTTCTTTTATTTGTCCTTTTTAGTTATGSCAGTAGAATGTATTTTGACATATCATACACACATGGAGTATAACTTCCCATTCTTGTGGTTGTACRTGAYRTGGAGTTACACTACYTGTGTATTCATATATGAACATAGGAATGTTATATCTGATTCATTCTATTGTTTTTCCCATTCCCATTCCMTCCTCCTTCCCCCACTYCCCCTTGCGCTCCCAGGATTTTCTTTCTACTCCATCACAACCACTCTGATTAAGCTCCTTCTTGCTTTACTCACAGATTTTGCTAAAGTTTTCTAGGTGGCCCCATTGAATTAAGCTTTCTCTTCTAGATCACTCTAAAAATGGATTATAAAATTATCTTCCTGTTTTAGTTATTTTTATCTCTTGCTTGAAAACTTTCAGTGGCYCTTCATTTCTCACTGTGTAACTTTCAAACATCTATAGTTGATATTAGGATTTTTCATATTACCTTTCATTGATTCTAACCCAATACTTTGTAGGCCTACTAGTCTACCAAATCCTGGTCATTCTTGCAGCCATTCCTTTGTGTAGATATATTTCCCGTTTTTTTCTTTAAAATTATAGCCACTTTCAAGCACCAGGTAACATTTAAGCCTATCTGTACAGCTTTCCCAACATTCATACTTCAGTAATGAAAGATTCTGAAGAATTACAGCACATGTGGTCTGCATCCTCTTTTAGTACTTAATTGTATATCATCTCCATTTTTAGTCTTCTTCCTATCATTTTTGTGTTCTGTAAACAATGTCATATTTCTGTGGCTCCCATAGTACTTAGCCCTCAGTTGGGCACAAAATGGATGTTATATGAAAGCCAAGGCTAAGATGAATTCTGGACATAATTGAGGGACTGAATAATAATATTAACAGCTAGTATTCATATATGATAGGCACCGACATGAGTATTACATGCACTCTCTCATCTAAATTTCACAACAATCCTATGAACCGGTAATTATCATAATCCCCATTTTCCAAATAAGGAAACTGAGACAGAGCTTTTTTGCCCAAGGTCACAACGCTAATAAATGAAAGATCTGGGTTCAAAGTCTTATTCTAGAATCTACTCTTAACCACTTGGTTGTATCATCATTAATGAGATGAGTTGTAAAGCAGATGGAACAAAATGGTAAAGCTTAAGCAATGATATGATGGGGCTAAATAAAAATGGGTAAGAAAATAAAGGATGATCACAAGTGAAAGACTGGAGAAAGGGCACAACAGTAAGAAGGAAAAAGAGGATATGGAGAAGTTGACAAGCAAAAACTAAAAGCAAAAAGTCAATCAATGTGGGTTGGGGAGATGAGAAAGGCCCAGGAGACGCTTAAGGAAAAGGGTAGGCAGAATGCAGAGCACAAATGAGGAAAGGTGATTCTTACAAGACTGTGAAGGTGCCRTTGTAGCTGTAGGGCTCTAGCACAGGCACTCGGTGGAGTTTCTGCATTGGGGCGAGACCAACACACAACAGTGTCTCATCTTGGCAGGTACAGAGCTCACATATATTAGTGTTCTTGGTGACATTTTCTTCCTTTTCTGTGGCATAAATTTCGGGGAAATGAGTTGTGGTTTGGTCTGGCTCCACTTGTGGAATTGTGAATTCAGTCATATTTGTTTGCTGTGAAGTTGTTTCAGTTGTTGAAAGAGTTGTAGGAGTTGTAGAACTTTCAGTTGCCACACTGGGTAGTGCAGTCAGGGTAATTGTCACGTCTGGAGGTTGAACTCCAACACTAGATGACTCCGACACCAGAGCTGTACTTATTGTTGGAAGTGTAATCTCATAATATACAGGAGGTTTTGCTATAATCTCTTTATATGGCTCTGGAAGCTGAATTGGCTTCCCCGGCAAGGTTTGAGAAGACGCAACATCAATGTTGGGTTTTGAAGTTATGGTAATTTCCACTTCAAAATTTTGAGGCATGACCGAAGTTTCCTCGTGGTTGATTTGAGGATTTGTAGTCTCTTGGTATGGATGTGGAAATGTCACATCAGGGGGCTCTGGAGGAAGATTTGTAGTTTCCAGATCTAGATGTGGAAATGTTGTCTCTGGGGGTTTTGGAGGAGGATTTGTAGTCCCCTGGTGAGGACGTAGAAGTGTTACCTCATGGGGATTTAGAGGAAAAGCTGTAGAATGTTCAACCTTGACATTGGGCTCTGGAGTTATGGTGATTTCCACGTCGTGGGGCTTTGGAGGAAAAGCTGTAGGATGTTCAACCTTGACATTGGGCTCTGGAGTTATGGTGATTTCCACGTCGTGGGGCTTTGGAGGAAAAGCTGTAGGATGTACAACGCCCACATTGGGCTTTGGAGTTATGGTGAGTTCCACGTAGTGGGGCTTTGGAGGAAAAGCTGTAGGATGTTCAACCCCCACATTGGGCTCTGGAGTTATGGTGATTTCCA